ACGATGTCGACGGCCGTTTCAAATTCGATGAATTCGGTGTAAAGAGGGCATGAGATTAAATAAAGGCAAACCTTCTTGGTGATAAAACGCAACTCCAGTAACTCGACTACATCTCATATCGCTAGCAAAACTTGTAGCAGTCAAAATCGGAAGACCTCATGTATGTTGTAAAAAGAATGTCCCTCAGCCTTGTTAACCTTAGCTTTCAGTAATGTCATTAAAGCCCTAACAAACTCTGATAACTAACAATTTAAGTTCCTATCCCACTGGTATTCTTTTCCCACTTATTTCAATGACTCAACTTTTTTCACGCTCTGTCGGATTTCACGGCCTTCTATGTCAGGCCCGTCAACCTAAGTTGAGTTAATACTAACCACACTCCCAGACATATTCATCTAATCCATGCAATTCTGTTTCAATAAATTATTTGTTGCTAATTAATCTGTTACTTGTAACAATTATTTGTTCACATCACACCACTATCATCATTTTATTCATTATTCTGCTCTTGGACTTACATCAAACGTATCACATTTATTGGCTTATGTCTCTCTTACACACATACTGTCTTCCACCAATGAGTACAAATCACCTATTCTTTATTATGAACACACAAACACATCATTGGATTATTTTATGTTACCTGATGTTGTTTTCGACCATACATTATATATGCAGTTAAATGGTAATCAGATTTGACAGATTAGTATTCCACCTTAGACATGTACCAAAATATAAATAGTGATGAGCACATAATCTGACTTCGATGGTCGCTGCACGTTAACACGATCCGAGTTTCATCTGTAGAGTTTGAAGAGACATTTGGTCGGTTTAATATTTTCTGTCCCAAAGAAATCATAGAGATGTTCAAACTAAAGATGAAAAGTTTAGAGACATCACCTAATGTAGACCTACATTCAAATATTGATCTCCGTACTCTAATAATTTTCATAACAACACTGGCCCGTTAAAAGTGATTATTCTGATGCTTACAACAAGTTTCTGACCTACATGGAAGAACTGACTTGACATTAGAGTTAAAAGTCGAAATCGAATCTTCTAGATTCCTCTCATCGATCTAACATACTGCTGTCTGCTCGTTTCTCATACGCGGTCTTCCGCATGATCTAGTCCATCATAGTTAGGAATACCATCAGTGATGGATGTAAATTTCGTTGATACACCTTTTGGATAGAAATTTCGTATTTCCTTCCACAAAATTATCAGCTCCTTGAAAGAATGCAGAAAATTTGTTCCGTGATCTGAATTTTGTCAGTCAATTTGCATGGCAGAAAGAACGAAACTCCACTAAAAACTTCTGAATTCAACTTCATGGATATTCGCCTTTCCATACAAAAATGATGATTATCAGGTTTTATTTCAAAATATTTTCTCTTTTTCCGATGAACTAAATTAAGGTGAGTGTAAATCGTTTGCTACTTATCAAGGCACGATACCGTCTACTTTCGAAATGAATTGCTTAACACAGGACGACTTGCACATTCTTGAAAATTTTTTAATATATTTCAATATCTTTTACAAATCTTAGCTTCCACAGAACATCATAATTTCAACTAGCTTCATCGAGTTTCCGTCAACAGCATATGGCTTGAATAATAATGCAGTCTACAAGCAATCAACATGACGCAGTGGGAATCTCCATCTCCCACGACGTGTCTCTTGGGCATCACGTTCTCAGCTGTCTCATTTACACAGCACATTATTTTGTTTATTTTGTCTGACATCGATTTCATGAAAACGAGCACCAGTCTTGCATTCTCGTTCCAATTCTGGTTGTCTGGCTTTTCCCTTCTTATCTGTTCTACCTGCCTTTGAAACGACTCCTGCTAGGTGAGTTGTAAATGAACTTGAACATTGAACGTTGCTTCATTGATCCTGGTCGTCATTGGCGGGCAACTCGAGAGTGCGAATGGTTCAATCGTGTACAAGTTGAAAGAATACGAGTAAAAGTACATTACATTTTTTGTAAAACATTTGTTTACAGACTTTGTACACAGTGTTGATTTTAACTGCCGAAGAATACAATTTCTTATTGGTCCTGATGTTTTGGAGTTAAAGTCAATAATCATACTTAGTAGTTGTCGATTCTGAGCATCTTCGGAAATAATAGTAACTTAATGTTAAGTTCCTTGAAATGAGTAGTAGAAGAGATGACTCCACTAGGGATTCTCCTGTTGATGGTGACCGTCAATTGTTGTCATTATATCTGATCGAGCACTGATATCACCTTTGTCTTCCGTATGTCAACCTTAAGATTTGTTTTCCCTGCCTATTCCGTCAACTTGTCGAATAAGCTTGTCAGTCTTTGAGTTTTTGTTTGATTTTAGACTTAAATGATTTGAACAATGCAAATGTTCAACAGACACTCCATCAATCCAAGGTGTACACTGCTTCCAATCTGTCGTCCAGAAATATCTCCACGAATGGTACTTCATCGCCAAGTCATGAGAAGTAGAGTTAACGAAAGGCTGGATTTCATCTGATTGCTGGAACGATAAGTGTAGCAAACCAAGTTATTCATATTGGAGTTGACGATATTTTACAATGGAAAATGGCAATGCAGTGAATTGAATTCAATAAAGCATAATAGACTAGAAGAGTGAACTGTTATCTCTCTGATCGAGGTTTTATGATACATCAATACAACCTCAATAAAACAAAACAATCTTTGTGAATACATTGTGTGTTATAATATGTTGGACTTTAACCCATAGTTGTTTGCCTTTCATCTAATCAATGTGATAGCTTGTATATCGTCATAAACAACACTATGGAACGGTGATAATCATTTCGATAAACTCAAATATGAGACCTAGAGTAAAATATATAAATTTTAGTTCAGTTATTCTTATTACCTTGTGTTCTGTGTGGAGCATGATGATGTCTCATAAGCACACCTTTACTTCGTCTCTTTTACCTGGTTTCAAGATAGCCCATAACCTGTCAGTTCATCTTCTCGCGATCTCCTCGCTGTCACTATCGGATAAGAGTTTGCTATTGGCTAATGAACATCGCTTACAGTTTATCTTCTAGTGAAACGTCGCATGATGAGGCAGTGAAAGTCAATGAAAGCCTTGATAAATTCGATAAAATTTGGCTTGAGTACTTTATTCTATGTATGCGGTTATATCGAGGTTATCTTCTCATCCCATTATCATTCCTAATCTGGTGCACACTAGTTCAGTGATAACTGTTTTGCTCAAGTAAACACAATATGATATGACGTTCAACCGGTAAGCGATCTATTGCAAGAAGTAGAGAGTAGCTGTGCATGTGTGGTCTCATTTACGGGAAAGTTTCACTGTTTTTGTCACTATCACATTACATAGCTCATAAATAAAACAGATAATAAACTTAATGTTATTAACCTGTTATTTGCTTGAAAAATATGTTCATTGATTCATGCAGAAGTTGGTATAGCTCGCCTTCGTTCGACTCAGTATGCAACAAAGTTAAGTGAATCCTGGAACAGAATACCGTTCCAGAGTAATTTTTCTTATACATCTCTGTATACGCATACTTCCCTAATTTCTTAGGAACAAGAAAGATATTCATTCTTGTATTTGTTTCTAGTGAGTACATGAACAGCTTTGATTTCAGTGGACACACTGGATATCTCATCGCTCTACTGTGCTTTCTGAATCAAACATTTTCGAAAACCTGCTTGTATTCAATCAAATATTCACATATTCTTTGTTCAGTATTTATCACAGTAAATTCCAGCAAAGACTGCAACGCCGAATACCAACTCTTAGATTTTAGGCATACAAAATAAAGCTGTTTTGTTCAGCATTTGTACTGCGTGAAGATGTTCATCGGTAATATTTATCACTGAATATTCACTAGTTAGCCATCTACTGGTTTGTGAATGAATTGCTTTTATGTGATAATCTCATTCTCTACAAAGCATGTACAACTAAGTTTCACTTTTTGTTTGTTCCATGAAGTATACAGTTTACGTGTTGTACAGCACTCGGTATTGTAATGACACTAAAGGAGCAGACTAAATGTTCCCAAAATACACATACCACACTGTTTTATCATCACTGCAACGATTTATGTTTAGCTAGAAATGTCACTTATAAAACAGACACCAGTTGAACATGCTGAGATAACTTTTTCCTCTTCCTGAATAATCAGTCACTTGGGAAGAAACTTCATGTCAAACTCATTCAGAAATATATTGATCTTCAGTTAATATTACGTATTGTTTCTATATTTGGTGTGCAGCTTGACACCTGCTTAGATGATCGGATTGGACATTTTATGAGAAGGATTATGTACTGTACTGTTCGTCGACAATTTTTGGAAACGCATTTTAAAAGTGTGACTGTCTGAGTCAAATTATACTCGTGTATGTACGAACGTTCGAAGGATTACTCATTTTATTTGAAATGGATAGTAACTCACAAAGCACAGGTTTACCGAGGATTTCGACTGATTTACTTTTAACGCCATTTGTGCATACGAATTCCGAGAAATAAGACCTACATTCCTTATCCATAATTCATTCTCGAGGCCAAGATTAGATTATTTGGAGATTTGCGAGTCTGTCTTCAGTTGTAAAATGTAAAGAAGATACATGTTAGCTTCGTAACACAGCTGTCGTTAAATAGGCTTTATTCTGTAGTTATACTTGCGGCAAACATTTGAAAAACACCAGTGTCACCAGCTGATCATAATGAATGTAGACATTTAAAGTTAAACGACCTTATTATTGTTATCGCTAATGTAAAAGTACATTTGTATCCGACGACTACAGTGGATAGATAGGTGGGTTTTTCTCTCAGAGCAGTGGGATGAATCAACACAAGTGACCATTCGTTCTGCGACAATATAATACATCTTTACAACATGAAGGAAGAGTAGATTTGTTGTTTAGTACAGAATAAAACGAACATGTATCATGATATCAATGAAAATGGAAATTTAGAAACAGTAACTAATTAACCATGTAAAGAGTTTGTAGGAAATGAATGTGCATTTATTTAGAAGGGGAGAGTTTTCAGCATCGAGTGTTACTTTACTGTCTAACTCATAGTTATATAAGTCTAAGAGACTCCAATTGCTGTAGGGCCTTTGGGTGCTTTTGGATCCATGAAACATAGGTATATTGAAAAAAATAGTGCTATCATTTCGAAGAAATACACAAACATTTCAATCAACACAGCAGAGGTTGGAGAGCCTCTTCTGAAACGCAATCCTAGTTCACACCCCGTGATAAACATAATCTGTAATTGAAGAAAAGAAATATCTATCAGCCCACACATGATAAGTTAAATTGATAGTGTATAGAAACTAAATATGATGATGACTCTAGTGAGTTGATGAAGAGATATGCATAACTGAATATTTCTAGTTCTGGCGTAAATGCCTCCAGGGCTTCACTAGCATAAAATCTCTTGATAATGTCCATGTGAGGTGAAGGAGAGGTATCAACAATAAATAAAATTCTGCACCCCTCGACCACCGTGTATATGACACTAGATTCGCAAAGTTTGTTGGAGGGGTAAACCATCATTGATTTATCCATTCAATATCTGAGATATTGGTATGTCACTGCGGACATCCTGGAGGAGGATCATTCTAGTCATCATCATTCAGAGTCAAGAGTCCGGTGACTGTGACTCTCAAATTGATTAGATTCCTTCTTTGAAATGATGATTCAATGTTGTCACGTAGACACAAATTCAATACATTCATTCCCTTATTGATAATTAATATGCTTTTGTGCAAAAGGTAATTCAAAGTCTCCGCCTATTTCCGGATACTCGTTATCATCACAAGTTTAAAATTTCATGCAATATTACTGTAAACGTGGTACTTACGAAGAATGTAGAAACGGCTAAGCATGCTCCACCCAAAATCCTGAATAATCTCTGTAAAGAGCAAATATATGCATATCAGGTGAGGTTATTTGAAGGAATGTTTAATTCACATAAAAATTATGAGTACTTCCTACAAACAAACAAACAAATGTATCGTTTTTGATGACGCTGATATCGGCCGGTTGAATATCTCACTATCTACAAATATTCAAAAGAAACACGCCTACATGTTCACTTCATAAGTGAATGCAAATCTGCATTTTGAATCTCATCCGATCTTATAATTCTGGTATCGTTAACTCTAATTCGATGGCTAATTTTAATTGAAGTTTTGATTATCACTTTTTACAACATATTTCACATTCCACGTCTGATAGAGATAAGGTGGCATCTCACTAGTATTCTTCATTTCAATCATTTTACTCTTATATATTTCAAAAGAGACTACTTTTAGAGAATCTGTATATCTATATTGGAAATATCCACTCCTAGATTAAATTAAACAGCTGCTTTGAATATAATTTTAGTAGATGGCTTATTATTCGTCTTGTACATATTCTTATGTTCAAAAACCAGTCTAGATTGCAGTCACAACACTTACTCCAACCCATTTAATAGCAGACTACACTAGAAACGTCTCCTAGATTTAGAAATACTCTTGAAACAACCGAAATTGCAAGGCTACTAGGATATTTGACTGACGACTGAACAGAATAAAGGTCAGCACTACTACTTTGTTAATTTCATGCAAGAAATAACTCACATCGCGAAATTTGACAGCCAACAGAACGATTCCCGCTACAGCGAATACACATGCTAGTGTGAAAAACAAAATGAATCCACCCAACTGCATTGTTTTCAAGTTGAATGTTATCAGTAGTACTATGATCGCAATAGCCAGTGTAATGAGCAGAGAGTAAAGCGTATGAAACTTATCACTGATATAGAAGAAAAATCCCATTCCATAAATGAATAGGATAATCTACAAATAATACAAAATGGTTATTTTAGAAATGGTTGTCATATACGTGTTAGTGGTTAGTGAAAATTTTCATATTTATTCTCATCACAAGTGAGATATGAGAAATCGTTACTGCGTAACCTGAAATTTCCCCAGCTACAGTGTTTCACTACACACCTTTTGTGCAATTTGAGTCTTTCGTAATGTATAATTCACGACTACCCTTTGGAGTGGAACAGCAAATATGTTGTGGATGATTTCACATTATATCGGACTGACTGACTGACGATACTTAGATAATGAAATTCGCCACGGTTATGTGCTATGCTATTCGAATGTGTGTAATTGATGATTTTGGATGACGCTGAATTTCACGTCAAAGTGTATGTGTCATTTATAAGGTTGAATTGTGTCAAAGACAGACTGACTAAAATCGAAGTAGCATCAGAATCAAACAGTGCCAAACAGGTGTTCCATTTTGGCTTAGAATTATTCAACATATTGCGCCAATTATCTCACCAGGGTTGCTATTCAGAACCCTCTTTTACTTTATGTGACATGTGAATCAGAGATCCCTCTGATGGGTTGGGATCCCACAACCTTTGTCAACTCGCTATATTGTACCATGACCACCAAGTGCCATCAATGACTACCTGTCCTCAATCCGGTTTCATGAAACCCTCGACTTCTCATCAGAACTTCAGTAAGCTCATCAGGTAATTAGTGACTAATCAGCAGTGGATTGGTTTTCGATTCCTGGTTTGAAGGGATGAGATTGATTTCAGGGTGGATTGTGTCATGAAATTACCACAGTTCTGGATGTATTGTGAGAAAAGGAGCATGGGATGTGAGTATGCTTCTGAATAACTCTGTTCCACTAACAACTCGAAGGAATAATAATAATCATAATGATAATAATAATAATCCACGTGAGTTTGGAATAAGTGGACGTGTTACTGTCAGGTGACTGAAAGTTTATTGGACTCGTCACGTTAAATAACATCTGAGGAGCATTGTTGTCGTCAAATGAATATTATACACAATTTACATTTACGGAAAAATAAATGACAAAGAGAATTTTCGCTCACTATTATTGCAGCAACAATCACGTTGTACGGAAAAGCAGACTGCAGTCGCCTACTCAACATCAATGCAACGGAGAGGATAACTGCGAGTATTCTGAAATACAAAGAAGTAAATCGCTTAGCATAGCAATCAAAAACGATGAAAGATTCTGAGTGCAAACTGGATCTATGCTACTTAAGGATAAATTGTAATGACCACGTTGTTGTGCTGTTCACGTCAAGCAAAATATTCAGTCGGATAATCCTAGAGAGGGTTTGAAATGCACTGGATTTACAATCCTGCTTAGAAGGTGAATTCAAGGAAAGCGAATGATCTGTGTATCAGATTGTAATGCTACGCTTCATTATCGAGCAGACACATTGAACACACAGTGGGCAGATAGTTGAGTAGCAACACGTTCCATTTTGTCTCTCTCTGGGAATCCGAAGTGGAAACGACAAGTTGTGCATCCAAGGGTGACAGGGAGGAGATAGTATAATAAGGAGATGAAAGCTGATGAAGAGTTGAGAAAGTAGAGCAAAATGTAGATGCACAGTTAGGGCTCCATGTTTCACTTCGCCTCAATGGAATAAATATACGTTCCCAACAGTTTTGCGCCACTATTGATATAAGCATAGGACTTGGGCACTGAGGTAGAGTATAATCTCATCATGGATTAATTTCTGTTTTATATCAAGGCTTTGATATGATTATGAGCAATTATCTGCGCTTGAAACGCCACCAATAAATATCAGTGTATAACACTGCGTGATTTTATGAGAATAAATTTTATCGTGAGAAAATATCCAATATGCGTATCATTTAACATCATCAGAGTACCAGGACGTGTGACTTAAAAATGTGGCATAACTGTATTTGCTGTCAAAAGAAAGTTAGGCTGTAGTTCAAGAGCAGTGGCGTTTATTTATTCTATCAGAAAACTAAGCATACTGCTAAACGAAATTCTTTCTTAAACTTTACCAAACAAGATGTTTTGAAAGCAACTTACACTAGAGCGATCGCTACATAATTCCATATGATACTTGGCTTTTCCTCATCTGTTTTAGATGGTGTGTCCTGGTTCTGCGAAAGTGAAATGCAATTTTGAGAAATGGAATCTTATACCGCAAATAAGAACAGTATGGTTTTCAGCAGAAAATGAACCGTATCACTTATGCAGTTTGCCATGTGAAATAGCGCCTGTCTTCCTCCAGTGCGTTCCATCTTAGATGATGCGGTCTACAAATTACAGAAAAAATGATGTTGTTTTTATCAAGTGTATAGTGATTTTGACATCAGAATTTACAGCTGCACAGCTGCATGAAAACAATGAATCATGATAGTTCGTGACCTGAAACACGTGCTAGTTTGTCTCGTAGCGAAGTCAGCCAGATCGACTATTGATATCGAGAAATATTGTTTACAAACAATGTTCACGTAATAGTGAAAAGAGGGCATTCAATGACAGATTCTGACATCGACAGTCATCAGGTTTTGTCATTGTCTTCTAACCTGTATTTTTGAGTAAATGCTTCAAAATACGAATCTGCTGTGTTGTGCACAAATTGCCACCAAAACAACTTCAGTGATGATGGTGATAAGAGTAATAATGATAATAATGATTCAATTCTAATCAGTTTGAAATCTTAGTCACGCATATTTCCTACCTCTGTCACGCTTTTTTATTTTTGAAAATGAATGAAGACCAACTTCATATTGCTATTGTGAACTACTTTCATCATATCTACAATGTATACGGGATTTTCTGACATTTCCCTAAACATTAAACCAATGATAACAAACAAAAGTCAATTTCAAATTTTCGGTATCGTGAAGTAAAAACCTGCAAGCAATGAGCTGTGCTCAAACATAGCTGATAATCAGAACAGAATAATACCACCATGTTCAAAATCGAATCAATGTAGATTATGCATTGATTTGTTCGTTGGACATGTCACTCAGTGGAACAGTATTATTTATTGAATAAAAGTAAATCAACTTTCGATGTTGTGTAGTCACGGTTGACATGACAATAAACATGAAATTGTGTTCTAAACGTTTTCTAGTATATGGTGATTCTGTTTCATTGTGTGATTTATCCAACAAACCAAATAAACTGGAATTACCTACTACCGCAGTGGCGAATCGGTGTGACCCTGTCAACTTCGTAGATGACTCAGTTCATTCTACCTTAGCAGATTCAAAGCCGTTTGGTAAAGGTCTCATTTATTTGAGTGATGAGGACCCAGTTTTAGAAACGCGCGGAACAGGTAGACAGGCAGTATGCCAAACATGTAAGAACAAAGAACCTCACCTCCCTGAAGATTTGCATATGTTGTAATTTCTCACCAGATAGCTCAGGAGTACTGTCACTTCGAGTTGATAGATCTATCCAATTTTTATTAATTCAAAGTGATAAATTCATGATTACTTATGGAAATGAAGAGAAAACGATTTGTGTACTTACTATTTCAATTTGAACTGCCATCCACCTGGTCATCTGTGTATAATCTAACCAGAATATGGTTTATATATTTTCCGGTGAATGAATTGATCTCAGTGATCTTTGAACTGTTTCAGCCTGAAATACTGAATACAATTTGAAGCATCAAATTTTGTTTACGAGTCACACCTACCCAATTTTTGGATTGGAACTTTGTCCTTATATTATTCAAATAACTGATACTTTTTTGAATGAAGTTATGTTTCTTGTATGTTGGTTCAATGTACAGATGATTCGATAGTTAAAGATTAACAGGCAATCAACTCTGAGTGATATTCGACCAGTAATAATAATATTCCATGAACGAAGAATCTATTTTCATCCGCATTCAGATTGTTAGATGTTAATAACGATCCAGAGTCTTATTGTATGGATAGAAATTCAAACATAATTTATATCTTTTGTGTGTTACACAACGATCCAATATTCACCCTGTTGCTTGTTATGGTTACCACTACTCGTACAGAAATCTGTACCACACCTGAGTATTCGTTTGTAGCAAAATGCATAGCCCTGCAAGGTGATGATAGAACGTCTGTAAATGAGAATGATGAATGCAACAACGTTTCACTATGAACAGTCAAACTCATCCTTCTTCTTGCATTCTCGCTTCTGGTTACCAATTACAAAATCTATGACCTATTACTGAATGTAGATGGTGATTTCATTCTGTCATTAGGTCTACAGTCTATGTCTTTTAAAGTCGACGACCATGGGGATTTTCCACAAGGTGTTTCGATAGATGTAAATTATCTCCCTTATCGGGCAGACGTGCTTAGGAAGTTTAAACTGTTTCACACCTTCACTTTCCTATAACTTCAGTCAACTAGGAGTTATTTGAAGTAAGACTGACGCATTTTTTATATTGAGATGAGGGGTATTAGATGGTTGGAGACAATCGGCAGGAAGCCTTGGACCTAGGTTTCGTGCTAGTTGGCACTCATCAGCAAGGCGTATCTGCAACCTTGAAGGAACTGATGTCCCTTCTGAGATTCGAACCCTCGTCACCCAGTGCTGCAGTCAGAGACGTTACCACTGAGCTATTCAGGCTCGCGACTGACCTCCTGTAGGACTGTATTGGATATTTTTGATTGAACACTAGTCAGTAACTAGTGTAATGTGTCTAGTCCTATCTTCGGTGCAGACTGAATTCTATCAGTCATGTTTGCAATGTGGCCAACATGCTAGGTGGCTCGCCATTGCGGTGCACTGTTAATTGTTGGTATTAGATGAGGGGGGGTTGATCTGACACAACACACACTGATATAACATCACTAAGTGAATGACAATCCCAGCTGATTTTATTGCTTATACTCAGTCATGTCGAGTATTCACACGGCTTCCTAATCCGTTTCGTGTAGCCATACTTGTTCTTGAATTTTTAATACAACTGTCAAAATACGGGATGGCCATTTGATCGTTTTGATCGAAGTTGTTTGCTATCGACTCAATGAAGAAAGATTCGGGGATTCGTCTCCCTTTCCATCGAAACATATTACTTTTAAGCAGTCATCAAATGTCATTTGATAAACTACATTATCCTTCTTAATTATATCTGCCGACTTCCTAATCCAATATAAAGTTTGTCACTGAAAAATTTGTTGTTTTCAATGCTACTCTTATTTAAGGTATATTAGGAATCGTATAAAAAGCATCTTGTATACCACACTGATAATGCCGCAATGATATTGGATTGCAGTAGTTGCTATACTTACTTAGCTAATTCCGATTCTCTTGGACGCAATCTTGCATTCTGGTATAAAATCAGGAGGGTGGTTGCTCACGAGTGTGGTTTCATTTACTTGCTTAATTTCACCAGTTAAACCCCCTGATTTACCAGTTTATCTGCTGGAGCTTCTATATATAACTGCTAACTTAACCGGTTTTAGGTGTGTTGACTCAAAGTTTATATACGTTCGAGAATGTGACGATTTTCTGATGCCATGAACCATTTTTCCACCATGGGAACAGTGTAGAATACGTGTCGCTTTGGTACATATTTTCGAGGTACTTGTCATCAGTGAGCGAGATGGATTTATCTAAGGGCCCTCCTTATTTCAGATGAGAGCTTATCATACTGTTTCCGATGCAGTCTTAATTTAGCCACATTGACAAATATCTGTTACCAATAGTTGAACTGGAGAAGAATATTTTGGAAATATTTCTTCCGTGTAAATACTCTTTGAACGAAAAATTCCCATATTGAGTCACAATTCTTATCACAATTTTGCTTCTTTCCTTTATTATGTAAGTTCACTATTATTACTATTATTATTTTATTTTATTAATACTTTTATTATCATTATTGTTCCCATAATCCACATTTTATTACCACTCTATTACTGTTTATTAATAACATTGCTTTTCATACATATTTCATACAAAAACACTTTATAGCCTGCTCATAAGATTTAGATATGGTAGAGAAGGTTTGTAGCTCAGGTGGATGATTTTGATGTGGTTGTGTACTCCATAGTGATTTAATTTATATAACTTTCATCATGGTGAATCCTTTGGTCAAGCGATTGATTCAAAAGGTTAAAAAATTGAGAAAAAAGACTCTGAAGAATACGAAGAAAATCATATATCTGTTGAAGGTATTCCCGACAATAATTGAGATATCATATCCTTTAAATGAGAAAATTACAGCTGAAAATAAGGGTAAACATCGAATCTCGGCATTTTCAACTAACTAGATATTATGGTTACTTTATGTTATGCAATGTAAATGAGCTATAAATAAGAAAGCATATATTCTTAGCGTTATCTGAACTCTTGGGTTGTTTCGCTTATGAACATAACAACTTTTCGAAGCTGATCTTTATGTAAAACCATCGGTTATTTCACAAAGTGAGGTTAAATATTTTCCTGAGTTTCACTGAAATAGTGAGAACAAAAGTGAGGTCATAAGGTGATACATATCAGAAAATCATTGATGGATGTTTCGTCCTAGTGTGGGGCTCTTCAGCATTGAGTTCACATAAACCTTTTGGAGGATCAAACTCAGGAGCTCAAAAAGGCGAGGTGAGTTCATCGACCGATTGGCCAAAAGATCAGGATCCAGTGGCCAACCGTTGAAGCATTCTGCCACCGCCAACCAGTGTGATCGGCGAGTATTTGTCCTCGCAGCTTACTCGGTGAATAATGGACATGTCGTAAATTCTCTGTGGAATTTCAGAGATTTGATCTCAAAGTCTATCATTAGATTGATTAATCAGACTAATTTTGAAGTGTTAATTTACAGAGGTTTGATTAGTCGTAATCTAAATTGAATCCAGTTTGTTTCTACTTTTCTGCTGCATAACAGATGTAGATAGGAGACTATATACTACTGATTTTCTGAGATGAGTAGTCATTTATAACTCATATCAACCAGTGGTGCTTGCTAGACAAGTCGAATCGGTCTAAACACCAGTTGACTGCCTCTGTAGTTTGGGGCCGAGCTCACCAGTAGTGTACCCAGTTTGACTCAAATCAGACAGCTGGATCAGTTGACATTACTGGATTTTTGGCTAGCTATTTGAATGAACTGATGGTACACAGAATCAAATTAACAGCTTGCAAATTAGTCAACGATTTTCTGTGCACTCAGTTCGACGGGTGAAACTTTCACCATGGTTTGCTTTGAAAATCAAATCATTCAGATCATATAGTATGTGATCTGCTTGTCACCATAAGTGGTAATCGAGAAAGCAAGCACATCTACAAAAAACAAAATTCTGCTGATTAATTGAAACTGCGTTGAAAATTGCACCTCTCGAATTGTGCAAATTGCTAATTGTTAACTTGAGATTTGTATAGGTATGGAATTTATCTTTTATCTGATGCGCAGTTGGTGAATGACCAAATCACAGATTGTGATAGTTGCTTAGTCATATGAGCAAATAGTAACTAACTGGGTTAACTGTGAGTCGCTGAACACTCGATGATATTAACCACTTTTGTGTAATTTTACATGTTTTCTCAGGACAAATAAGATTCCCATTAATTAGGAAGGCATTGTGATTGCTTAAACACAGAGGTTACAAAGTCTTGGTTGTTTCAAGAGGAATGTTGTGGATTCTGATGTTTAGAGTATTTAACATATTATGGATTTTAACAGTTGAGTATGCACAAAACACACACAATGGAGAATAATTGGTTCATACTTTATGGTCTGTTTGAACTAGGTGTCCTAATATGGAACTGTTTACGATTGAGTTAGCTACGCTGGTTGAATGTTGCACAACATGAAATTCTCACAAAACAGAGATGAAATGCGACAACTTATACACGGATTTACGAAGAATTACTATTTGGCTAGTGTTAGACAGTTTGAAATAGTCACTGTAAATGATATTCATCGGAACCAATATTGTTCTGATGCTTCGAGAAAGTTTGGTAGTCTGAAAATCTCTTTAACAGATGACTATCTCTCATGTTGGCTCTCTTAAAGCTTATCCATTTAGTGGTAAACAGTCAGTGAGTTATAGAACTGTATTATACTGAAGAACATATACATCTTTACGATGAGCACATTCTTAAGCATAAGGGAATATGGTAACGGGGGATGACTGTATTTTTAAGTGATTCATACATAAGATTAAGCCAGGGGGTTGTTAATGAACTTACACTAGAAATTGGATAAAGGGAATAGGTAGCAAATGTATTCATTGTACCAATTGAAGCATGTTTGGAAGCTGTAATATTATTTTAAAATGATGCACATTATTTAGTTCAAAATGGCCTTCTTCAGACCAATGTTTGACCACTCATTACATAGAAATAAATTAGTTTTGCATGAAACATTAGTTATTATTATTACTCATGTCTTCTGAGTGGAACATGTGGTTTCCTCTGCACATCCCCATTCTACTCTGCCTTGTGTCATCTTTCTTTACCGGTTCCATGATCAGCTACGTGATTTCATTTAATCCATCCACAATCTCCACTATATCATCCTCCCTATTCTGGTCCCATCTCATTGCAAGGTATGTGATGTTATC